TCAGTGAGGTTCTGTAGATCAGTGAGGTTCTGTAGATCAGTGAGGTTCTGTAGGTCAGTGAGGTTCTGTAGATCAGTGAGGTTCTGTAGATCAGTGAGGTTCTGTAGGTCAGTGAGGTTCTGTAGGTCAGTGAGGTTCTGTAGATCATTGAGGTTCTGTAGGTCAGTGAGGTTCTGTAGGTCAGTGAGATTCTGTAGATCTGTGAGGCTCCTCTTAGCAAATCTGCTGTCGTGTCATAACTTTTCCATTTTCTAATATTGGATTTAGTGGTGCTCCATGGGATGTTCAGAGCGTGGCATATTTTTTATACTCCCATCCTTATCTGTACATTTCCACAACCTCGTATCTGACCTGCCTTTCTTGGTCTTCGTGATGTCTCTTGCCTGAAGGCTGCCCTAACTAGTGAGAAGGATTACATTTCTGGCAGAGCAGATGTATATAAACCAAGACAATCTGACTCTTAGATCGCCCATAGTTGGATCTTATTGAACTAATTATGTCACTTCTGAAGGTAATGGTTGGGTTTTAGAACAAAGAGGGTGAAAAGAAAACATACGCAAACACCACTTTTTAATTTTGTACATTTTATTTTAGAAATATTTAGAACATACTATTTTTCCCCAAGTACATTTTTTTTAACCCTGAGTTATTTTGAGCAGCTTCAACTGAAATAATACTTTATATTTTCTGTAGCTGTATTTACCAAGCCTGAACAGCATTCGTGTGTCAAGAATTGGAAAAACTAATTTCCTTTCCTGAAGGATGCTGATCCTAACATGTCAGACCTTTTCTGTGTTTCCACCAGAACCTTCGTAAGATGGAGGAGGACTCATCAGGGGAGCCTGTCAGAGACCTGAATGAACTACAGAATGCTGACTGGGTAAGAAACCAGACCTCTAACCTTAGATCTCCAGCCTCAACACATTGTTTCAGGTTTTTTTAATTCTGACTGAAGAACCTCTCAACTCTTTTAGTGTAATAACAGAAGAATATACAGTAGTCGCTCGTTTATCGTGGGCGATCTGTACCCTGAAGAGTCGTGATAAATGAAAAACCGCAAAGTAGGAATATTAGTACAAGTAGTAAAAAGTAGTTTATTTTATTATTTATATATTTTAAGGCATTTTAAATCCTTCTCACACTCTTGCAATATTCTAAACAATGTTTCTAAATTCTAAACACTCTAAAAGAGCACAGCATGTCATGATTTCAGCTCCTGCCTCCTCTGCTCTTTGCCACCTGCAAGCGCTCTTGGCCACGCCCACTTCTCTCCTCTGCACGGTGAACAGCTGATCAGCTGCAGCAAGAAGTTTATCCTGCAGCTCTGGGCTGCACAAAGGTGCAGGAGGTGCTAAATAATTTAAAATAATTTATTTTAAATAAAATTCCATGCCGATCGTGCAGCTCATCCATCAATCAGCCAGTTGTGTCATGTCCAATCTTATTTTGAAAAACTGTGATAGAGCGAGTCCGTAATAACTGAACTGCAAAGTAGCGAGGGACAACTGTACCACCTTAGATAGTAAGTGATTAAAAAAAATCTCAGAACATGTGTAGGTACATCATCTACCTTCTTCAAAATCCATCCTGATTTCAAGGGGTTTTGTGAGACATTTGACGTTTTTCTTTGTCAGGCTCGATTCTGGGTTCAAGTGATGAGGGACCTTCGTGAAGGAGTCAAACTGAAGAAGGTCCAGGAGCGCCAGTACAACCCTCTGCCCATCGAGTACCAGCTGACTCCATACGAGATGCTCATGGACGACATCAGGTCCAAACGCTACAAACTGCGCAAAGTCATGGTCAGTGTCTGCAAAGGTTTAACACACATCGTGCTATATTTATCATTTCTAATAAACTTTGCACTCGTATAAACTAAAACAAGTGCTTCATACAAACATACCTTATTCTAAAGAAGCAAAGTGCTTTTTAAAAAAATTGATATTAAATAATAAATAAAAAACAGTTTCTGGAGTTTTTGGAGAGGAACGTTGTCCCAGTCTTGTCTGATGGTGGATTCTAGCTGTTCAGCAGTCTTTTGTTTTTGTTTCTGGATTGGAGCAGACATTGTTCACAAACCTGTGTGCTTTTTTCTGCATTGATAGTGTCTTTCCATTCTAAGTTGCCCATGCCAGAAGTACTAATGCACCCCCATACCACTAGAGAGGCATGCTTTTAAACTGAGTCCTGATAGCACCACGGATGGTCCCGCTTTTCTTTAGTGCCAAGGATGTGGCTGTCGTAGGAAAAAAAACAACAACTCACAATCAGGTGTAGATTTTATTTAATTACAAAGCTTTGAACAGCCAGACTCACAGAAAGCCGATGCATCACAAGTACAGGACTTACTAAAGCTTTTTCCTGTCAGAGTTCCTGACCTGCTCTGGCTTCTTGGTCTAAACTCATCGGGGGCCTGCCCCTCCTCATGACCTTTGTGCTTTTCAGAACCGAACCGAGGCGGCTCGCAGCCTCACAGAAAACAAAACATTTTCCAGATTCCTTACGAGGGGGGTGATGAGCATCTGTCCAGGGGTCCACTGATACCTGATTCACAGACAGAGATACCAAACCATTATAATATCATTCACAATAACCCTCAATAAAAAGATCAAAAAAGTTATCAATTTGATAAAATAATATAGCATTGTGCATGCATATATATATATATATATATATATATATATATATATATACACATTCCCTCGACAGTGGCCTCTGTGGTTTTCAAAAGGAATTTTAAATTTAATTGTGTCTGACCGAGAATGGACGATTCTCACATATGGCTTCTTCTCTGTGTGATAGAGCTTTAAGCAGCGTTGTGGATGGCTCTGTGATTTGTTCAGACAATGACAAACACTGATTTGTGGACGTATTCCTGAGCCCATGCAGTGATGTTCAGAACAGAACCTGTTTTAATGCAGTGGCCCCTGATAACCTGAAAATCCTGGGCATCCATTTCAGCGTTGACCTTTGACCTCAGAGATGTGTCCAGAAACTTCAAGTATTTTCATTTTACCATGAACTATTATTATAACTCAGTGTGGACAAAGCTTTTTACTGACAGTTCAAGCTGAATCTGCACAGTTCAGTTTAGGTTACCATGGCGATCTAACCAGACTCAAACAAATCCTCCTTTGTGATTCTGAAAACTCAGATTTTCAGCACTGAAAGAACTGTCATTAAAATCTGGAGCAGGGCAGGTGATTTAAGAGTTTTCTACCTGCTGCTTTGGTGTTTGTTCAGCACGTTCTGTTCTTTGACAAGTTAAAATGTGCAGCTCTTCCTTCACTGAAATAACAATGGATCACTAGATGAAGACAAACAGATCCACAGAAAGACACTTTACTGATCCCAGAAGAAAATTTTAATAATTAATGTACTTTTATTATCCATCCTTCCATTACTTTTACCCGTTTTTACTTTTTAGGGTTGCGGGGGGTCACTGGTGCTCATGCGACAGGCAGGGGACACCCTGGACAGGTCTCCAGTCCATCACAGGGACACAGAGACAAACAACCATTCACTCTCTCTCTCTCACCTAGGGACAATTTAGAGTTACCAATCAGTCTAACATGCATGTTTTTGGTCTGTGGGAGGAAACTGGAGTACAATAGTCCCTCGCTTACATACATACTGTATATGTACTGCACAGCAGCTACTGCAAAATTTTATATGGGGGCTCACCAGCCTTGGTCTGGTTCTGGTCCAGTTCTGATGGCTCTCTGTAGCCGTTGAGCACCATGACGTTTTTGGAGAGAACCGAACCTCCGGAGAGCCAGCACAAACCACACAATGGTCTCGATCGAGTCCAAATAATCCAGAAGAATCTGGATGAAAAAAAAAGTCTGGCTGAGCTCTGGAGAAGACACCGGACCCCCCCCCCCCCCC